CCTTTCTTATTTGGAAAATTTGACACCAAGAGGTTGTCTAGGTCAATATAGGTTAGTTTACCCAAGAGTATGGATTAGTGGTCAATGAAGTGGTTTGAGAACCTGAAGTTTCTTCCCATCTATCCAAATCTTGATAGATAGAGTTATCTGCTATTTATTGTTGGTAGAGGGAGCAAATAACTCGTGGAAATAGTCGAAGTATGTGCAAGTTGATACGGACACCATATTTATAAAATAAAAAAAATTACCCAATTTAAGATAATTTTATATGGTAATTGCTATATCAAATTATATTGTAGCAATAGATTTATTCCGTTTTTTTTAAACCCCTCCCAAAATCTTATTAGTAAAATGCGACCAACTAGAATTAGTCTGCGCGTTCATATTAGTCTTACATTTTGACTTTATTCGGCATCCATACTAGATAAGTAAGAGATTAAACTTATAATACCTCATGTTTAGGGTCTGTTTGAAAAGTCATCAGGTAATTAGAATTGGTGTAATTACTAGGATAGTAATTACACAGTTGTGTAATTACGACGATTTGTTTGTTTGTCATAGTGTAATTGCAGTGTAATTACAAGTTTATTGTTTGTTTGCACAAGTGTAATTACACAGCTAGACTAAATTTTAAATAGAGTAATTATCAAAACTTAAAAAGTTAATATAATAAATATATGTCTATAAATTTTTATAAGTATAGATGATATTATATTTGGTATTTAAGATATATATATTTTCGTGAATATACATTAATTAGTAATCATATATTTATAACTAATATTGTAAAACTAATTTATATATATATTTCAAATTAATAATATTTAGTTTAGATACTTACAAAAACTAAAAACATATGTTTTGTAAGAACATCGTGGAATTTGTTTGATAAAATAAATTAATATTTATAAATATAATGTCAATGTTATGACAAAACTAATCTATCAATTCTAACTAAAAAATGAACAACATGTAATGTGAGTCAATACTACTAAAATAAGTAAATTAAAACCATGAATATAACACAATTTTAAAATCCAACAAAAAATTTTTAACATATGTCAAATTCCGACATAAATAGTAAGTTCCACTATAACTTAAGATTAGAAAACATAATAAGTTTACAACCACATTCAGCAACGAAATTTCACTTTAATTGCATCACTTATTATATGTCAAGTTTCTTAATGACTCATTATTTCTAATTTAGGAGGTGTATTTTCAAAAAATAGAATAATAAAATAAATAAACAATAAAATATAAGAAGTAAAAATAAATAATGTACAAAGAAAAATATATTCTAAAATTTCAAAAGAAATTAAAAAGTAAAATAAAATTAAAAAAGCGAAATAATAGAAATAAAAAGTTATAAAGAAAATAAATTAAAATAAAAATAAAAAGGAAAAAAACTAAAAAACAACCTTGTAATTACACAGTGTAATTACCATCAATTCTCACCTCCCCTTGAGAATTAGATAGTGTAATTAAACCTCTCCAATTACACCTAATTTCATGCTGACCAAATAATTACTTGGTCAAACAAATATGCCAAATTGTATAATTACACCCAAGTGCACCCAAATCCAATTCGTAGGTGGCTTTCCAATAGGCTCTAAGATTTGGATTCTTACTTAAACCTTACTTAATAAACTAATTACTCCGTGGGGCAGGCAGTTTTACTCGTTCATTGACTTTGCATTGAATATGCTTCTAGAAGTTGAATTTATGCCACCATTAATGAACTTTTCCCCAACTCACAAACATTCACAGTAAAATACTCATGTTCAATTCTCATTAAGAAAATACTAAATTCTAAACAAAAATAATTAGTATGATTAAATTATTTTTAATTAAATGTTACAGTATAATTATAGTAGTATTTACTTCTCTTCTCAAAAATGAGGAGTAAATGACTTTTTAGATATAATTTTGAAAAAACAAATTGAATTTTTTTCTTGATTATATAAATGGACATTTATTTTGACCAAAATAAAAAAGCAAATTGGTCACTTATTGTGAATCGAAGGGAGTATTTGATAATATACAAAATATAGGATAATGAAAGAGCTGTTGGGACTTTATAAAATCCGATATACTATGGCGTTAATTATCGTGTACGATGGTCAGATTAAAGTTTTTGAATTCATTAAATAGTGATTTTTTCCCATCAATTATTCATGGTTTTCGTACAAGTGGTATGGAACTTAAATTTTCTCATTTTTTTCAACAATATAAATAACTCTAATGCTTAAAGGATGCAAAACTGATTGAATGTTGTGTAACAAACGCTATTTGATCGCACATCTTAACAGTACCAAAGGAGACAACATAATGGTCCGGAGGACACAATTTAAACCACATAAATTTTGCTAGCAGGTAGAGCTAAGTAAACTAGGAAATAAATCATTATATAAAAAAGAAACTCAAGCACTTGAACAATACATTAAATCTTTCCAAGTTAAATCTACAAAATTACACCTGATACATTCATTGACTTGGCTATAAGTGGCCGATCAGCTGCCCCAAGTTGGAATTTACANGCAGCTACTCATGTTAGACTTACAACAAGAACAAATATCACCCATAACTCATTATCAACTAGGGGATATTCCAGACGAGTGCATACGCAGTTTTTTCCTGTTATCCCATGTTTTAGGGGAGGGTTGGAAAGTGTTCTAGAGGTGGTGCCTTGTATTTCAAAACACACCTTCCAATGTGAACAGTACATTTCTGCAGATGGAGTCGCCGGGAGACGTCAGTAGTACTTGGAAAACAAACTACTGTCTTCGAGTTCTTAAAAGTTTGTGTGCCACCCAAATCCAAAACTATAGACACAATCATTCTGCTTTTTTTGGGATCCCAATGGCTCCTTAATCCTGCATAGTCTATGGAAGCCAACAGATTGGAAACTGGCTGTAACGACTAGACTGCAGAAGACATCACATCATCTGAATCCACTTTAAGCTGAGGATAAAAAAACAAATGGGAGATTAATCGAAGCAGTGAAAGGAGATTCAATCTCAAAAAGCTAGTTTTAAGAGTAAAGCATACTTGTTGTAGATGGTTCACTAGAGCACCCTGTAACAACTTTTTCAGCTTTTCACTTTGATCAACCATGTGACCTATTTTGATAGATTGTTGAAGTTGATACCATAATCGCTCAATCAAAGAATATGGGAACCAAACTGCAAATGGCCTTTTACGACGAATAATATCAGCTGGTCTCTGCAGGTAATGGCAATAGATAGTGCTGTTAAGAAATGTGCACATAGCTAAGAATAGAATTGGTTGATCTTGCAATCAGTAAATAATGCATCAAGCACTTGTGTTATACTTGTATCTGATTAAAAGGCTACTAGAGATGTCTAAGAAATAAAACAGCAAACCAAACACGGGCACCAAAAAACTGGACTACTTTGAAAAACATTGAATAGCTACTAAAGACCTGCAGGAATGAAGCATGATAGCAGAATAATAATAAAATGATGTAAAGCATAAAAGAGTGCCATGACAAAGTTGCCAATACAGGCCACAAGTACACTTAACATGACATCGGCTGGACAATAAGATTCAAAATGTCCTCCATATGGTATCCAATAGGGTTTTTTCTGTTTTCATTTGGGGGTGCGGGATGGGGGTTGGTGGTAAGTGTCCAAGACTTTTGTGATGATATAAGATGCATTGGCATCACACCCCACAACTTAGGCACTGGCCAGTGCAAATATGAAGTATCAGTATCCTTCTATTTCCATGCTAGCCTGCCACAGTTGAATAATTGTAGCAGCAAAAAAGCAAACAAGTATTAATTGAAGATGGGAAAAGTCTAACACAAGCATGGACCTAACAGACAGGATAGCAGAATAAGTTATGATGGGAGATAAGTTGGAAATTGCTTAATGTAAATGGAACTGGCAGTGGCAGATTTCTTAGAGATCCTGGTTTACTTCATAGATAAAACAGAATGCAGATAATGTGAGAAAATAAGTACTACTTATTAGGGAGTTGTATAATGGTCGAGATTGACTCGGCTTTATGAGATCGAGTCAATATCGACCATCATACACCTCCCTAGCACGTACTTATTTTCTCATATTATCTGCATTCGGTTTGATCTATGAAGTAAACCAGAATCTCCAAGAAATCAACCATATGAACCATGTCCCCAACACATATCTATTGTGTTCTTGCTGTACTCAGAGACAAAACTTTGGATGTTGTCATTTACTCAACAGAGTATCAACATTAAGGAGATCTACAGATCTGTACACGTTAAAACTTCAGTTAAATTATCCACTAGATGCATTTGGTAATTTGGACATTAGGTACACAAGAATGCGGATAGACAATATACAGAATGGGTGGTTGAATAAATCCCTAAGATAGGAACCCTATCTTATTCTCTGGACTTTACTACCGTAAATAACAGAAACTATTAGGACAGAGAAGTCCTCTCAGAGAGATGATACCAGCACAATGTTCTTCAGCGTCATCGCTAAGTACAACAAATGTCTAAAAGTGGTACAGTTTTATATCGAACCTAAGCAGATGGCTTGACTGAAACAGCAGACAAATTTTCCAGAAGACAGATGAAAAAAAAACTAACAGCAGCCATTGACATTCAAATGCTTTGGAATAAGGATGAGAACTTACCAGTGATGCGAAGGATTCAATGTACTCGAGAAGCAAATTAGTCGCTTCGGTATAACGACCATAATCAATATATAGTCGAAGCAAAGAAGCAGGATTTGACTCACTTCCTGCCATTCCCCAACCACTTTTTGCTGGCACACCCTATGTCAAACACAGAATGATAAAAATAAATATCACATCCTCAACTTGACATTGAAGAATCGAGAAGATAAGCAACACATATTACATCAAATTACTAAGCAAATAAAAGCCAATTCCAAATCCTGCTGCTAAGAATGCATCAAAAAGCAATAGTAACTGCAAAATTTTATATCACACAAACTAACAACAGCGAGCTGACAACATAGCAAACTTAGGCATGATCGAAAACAAGATGCCTTATTAAGTGCCTTCTGCTTCCAAAAGGACTTGCTTGCCTCCTTTTACTATGTAATTGTAATAGGATATAACTGAATAAATTTTTAGAAGAGCCTTTCTATATTAACAGCTTCCCCAACTGCTTGAATCCATTATAAGCCATAAGTGATACTTCCACCACCTCATATTCCCAATCTTGAAAGTGTTGAAAGTGCTTTCTGAATGGAACATGTCAAGGAAATTCATGGTCCTTTACTCATATTCCCACTCGTGGAAGTGTTTTCTGAATGACACATTCAATGAAATTTGATCTCTCTTTGAAGTACTTCATGCGCCGCTATATTTTTTCATGAAAATAGAAAACAGATGAGGAATGTCATTTTTCAAGGTGGCCTCCTCACATCAAACATCAAGCCGAAACTGTACAAGTTTTAATGTTCCTTATTGAGAAGCCAATGAACCTTGGGGAGTTAAACTTGATTCTTCATGATCCCTTTTTACAAACTCATCCCATACATAGCATCCATACTTTACACTAACATCTTCCTTAATTAGTTTTTCTCCCACGCAAATCCCGATACCTCCTTTTGGAAAAGCTCAATAATAGGTCCAAACCTTTGTATAACCAACTGTCTAGTTTGACAAGAGCAGTGATCTTTCCCAACAAATCAGATGTTCTTTTTTCCCTCTCTCCATCCCATCCCAAAGAAATCCCTCAGTAATTTCTCTAGCTTATTAATGAAAAAATAATAGCAATGGTGGTTGGCTATTTTCTTGTTTTTGTGCCAGCTCATTATCTAAACGATCGTGCATACACCCTAGTACATGTTCCTCAATGCTGAGGGCACCCCCGAAGAGGAGAGGATTTCGTGATATTTCTGATAGGCTGTATTGTATTTCTAATGAGTTGTTTAACAATTGGCATGTTGAAACATAAACATAATATGATGGGGGGATTTGATTGGCCCTAACCAAGGAATCCCTCAGATATGATGCAAAACGACTTTTGTTCTCTCCTTGATGAAAGATTTCTCTATGAAAAATATGAAATAGAGTTTGAAGCGGGGGGTTATAAATATGGTCATAAAGTAAGCGCGAACGCTCAAGAGTGGTGGCCTTAACCAGAGCCACTCTCCTCGAACTTTTTGTAGATCAGCTACCAAATTCTTGTAATCTACTTTGTAAATATGGTGCCCAGCTTTTCCTTAATGCTGATGAATTGTTACCATTCTCAAAAAGAACTTCTAATTCCTTGAATTTATCACAAAGAGAAAATCCAAAATATTTTGCAAGGTCAATATTTTTACATCCTCCAGATGATAGGGCTGAAGTATACATCAACAAAGAAAAGGACGGAATAAGCATATCACACTTTATGTAGAGACTAGACGGTATGAGCAACTCTTGTCTGAAATATTTTTTGTTTTATCTTGATAAATAATCTTGTGTAATTCTTTTCCATAACACTGCTATACAGCCTTGAATATTTGGGCTTAGGCCCTCAAATTATAAAATAATGTTGTACTTACCTTGAACATTTGAACCAACCAAAGAGGCAACTCAATTTGAGGATCAGCAGCAAGAAGAGTATCAGCAACAACAGCAGGCAATTTAGCATGAAACTTTTTGTATTTTTCCTGCAATGACGTTATGGACATAAAATTGAAAGAACAGTGTATTTGCTTTAAACAGATAAAATTAGTTATGAAAGAAGGAAGATACGGACAAGATAGAGCTCAAGTGTCTCCCACTGGCTACTGCCTTTAGATTCGTGTGCAGTTGGACCAACATTAGGCGATTCATGAGCAACAATCTCATCCTGCGATAAGGTCAAAAGAAGATTGTGCATCCTCTGACCATTCCTGAGTAATAGGTACCACAAATTTAATGGTAGAACATGCTAAGAAAAACAGCTTGCATTGAGGGGAATGAGAATGATGCATATAAAAAAGCAGAATTAAGAATATCTTACCCAATGGATGGGGCTTGCAGTTCTTTTGGGCAGCATTTCAATGACAAAGCTGCAAAAACTCTTTCAAGTTCCCTGAGAGACAGCACAAGAGTTGCAAGTTAAGAAACCCAGGTATCACGGAGGCTTACTAACTTCTCTTGAAGCTACCACAAAACAACATACCTCTTCAAAGCGGACCCTTTCCAAAATTTAAGAATTACTGTAAAAGCCATGTCATGTAAGTTTGATTCAACCAAAAGGTCAATTACATCCATTGGGGGTGCCTCAATTCCTGAAAGAAGAAAAGCATTTGTTAAAGGAAAGTAGAACGAGCAAAGGGAAACTTAATTTTTGAATCTCATTGAGTTGAGACCTTCCATTTCACATAAGCTGAAGAGTGACACAATCTTCTTTGTTCGAAGCACAATTCTAAGGAAAGTTTTTCAATACGATATATGTTATCCAAAATGACATAATAGCCAGTAGCAAACAAATGAAAATACCAAGATGTAAACCAGAGAGTATCTCAAAACCCAGAGTTTCAAATTTGAAAATATTGAGTTAAGCACAAAAACAGCTAATTTAGAACTGAGAAACAAGGGAAAGGCATGTTAACTTAGCAAGAAACTTACTTGCAAAAGTCCATGTGACATTTGCCAATGACAACAAATACTCAGTTGACGTTAGAATGAACTCATTCTCAAGTTTTTCAACATCTAAGTATGACCTTTGCCTTTGAGACTGAGCACCATTACCAGGAGCTGGAAAAGGAGAAAATGGATGTGACATAACCAAACAAAAGAATGTAGTGACATTTAAAAATGAAAATGATGTTGAAAAAATCAAATAAATCTTGAAGTATAATTTACACTGTTCTTCCACGGTTATCCTAGCCTTTTTACTTGGATACATATTAGAACAAGTTTCCTCAAGTGGAGCATCAATCCAAGCATATGCAGGATGAACCAGCTGTAGAGCATTGATAGCAGCAGAAAGCCCATTTAGCCTCTCCTGCAGAATAAAAGATCGCCGTTGGGGATCTCTCACTGCACCATGGATTCTTAATTGTGCTGAATACAAGTAAATATAGCTCGCTGCTCTCCGCCAATTATGTCTCTGCATTGCAAATGCGTAGAGCAACTTGAATGGGTTTGGCTTGGCTGAAACATCAGAACGCTCAGCCTACAATTTTTTAGATTTAATGTGAGCCTTGTGAAGCTGCAAACCATGTACTGTATTAAATCACTTATAGTTCATGAAATGATTACAAACCTTCCAAGCAAGTTCTCGCTCCACCTTCTCAGATAAGCCAATAAATGGTAGCTGGCCATCGCAAAGAATCTGGATGAAAGGAAAAGTGAAGACAGCAAGCATAAGTTATCCAGTAATTATTTGCAGCATAAATGGAAAGAATCTAGTGAAAACACACATAGAAAGTAGGGAAGAGAACAGATAAAACAGAATGGTCATATAAGGCTGCAACAGAAAAGGAAAAAGACCAAGGATACAGAACCTTCACAGCTCCTCGTTCATATAGAACAATTATAAAACGCCTCAGACAAATGGTTTTGCTTTCCTCGTCTGGATTTGAAATGATTGCGCAATATGCATCATAGTAATAGTTGAGATCTAACGTGAACTGGAAGACGTTAGCCCAAAGTCTTCCCTTGACAGCAGTCGCTGATTCATCAAGAATACCAGATCCAAGAGCTTCGTCAACTTGCTCAAGTGCAGCAAGAGCAAACTGGCAGGCAGCCTCCCTCATGTTATGTTGTTCAAATATTTGCATTGCCCATTGATAGTAATGAAGCTTCCAAGCAGCAGGTGACACATGTTGAGCTAGGATACACAACAGTATGAAGTAAGATGACTTCCAAGGATCAAAGATACTGAGGAAAATGAGTGAGAGCTTCTTCTAGAATTACAAGAAGCTTCGGCGGAAAAACATACAGAAACCAAGGTGTATCCATCCTGCTTCAATTGGCAAGCTTTGCAAAGCGTTGGCAGCTCCTTCTACAGACGCAGCTCTGCAAGCATAAGCATAACCAGTACATTCACAAAAGAACCACTTCAACAAAAAGAATTATAAGTACCATTTCAAGAATATTCACAACACAGGAAATCAAGAACATGAAACTTTATACAGAAGCCATAGCAATCCAAATTGAAATAAGGCTCTAATTTTACTGTGTGAGCATGTGTCCGTGTGACATTTCTTTTATTATTTGCTTCTTCAACTTTTGGAACAAGATAAGGAACAACAAAGATGAAGAACTATTACCAAGAACTGTGAACCCAGCCACAATAAAGGAAGATGGCCGAGTGAAAAGTATATGGTTAACTATACCTTTTCACAACCAGTACATATGATGCTACCATCGAGAAGTGGACTTGAAGTTCCTTTAATTCAAACTTACAGAAGCTAGTAGACATTAAAAACAAGTCCAATAAAAAGAGGAACCTAGCTAAGACTTATTTTTTTTCCTTTTTCTCTGACAAGACCTGTGGAGGCTACTATAACGAATACAAGTCTAGACTCTCGCTGTTAGACCATACTATCTATTTCCTATCTGTTCTTTTCTCAATCAAAATGCTCTCCAACAGTTTTTACAGTGATGCATCAAAGCAACTTTAATGTCTCTAACAATCCCAAATTTGTTGGGACATATTTTACCAAGCAGCAACAAGCCTCAATACAGTTACTGTCAGTATCAAAGTTACCATTTGAAATGCAGCAATCTCCTTCTGATTTTATCTCACTCTCATGCCTCAACCTTCAGTCTTCTATTTTCTTTTCAATTTGCTATGTGACCACAAATTTCTCCTTTTTCAGTCACAAAAGATCACTTTTTGATCCTCGGTATACCAGTTCTTTCCAGACTAAACACTAAATCTGACCTGCAGCTGTAAATATCTTCTTGGAGATATCCAGTTCATAGTTGTGACTGTAAAAGTAACAAGATACTTAGCATTAAAACCTACACATACCGAAAAAAGCACCGCACTGCTTCAGAAATTTTTCTTTCTTTCATTGTTCCGTGCAAACCACGTTGGCTTTGTGCAACAAAGCAACAACCAAGAAGATGCAACAGAGTGGACCACTCCCCACCATCGCTCTGAAGACTTTGGAAGATCTTCTCCTTGCGTGAATACGTATCCACCAAACCGAGTACATACTGAATGAAAGAACAAATTGTTTCAGTAAGATCTTAAGAATTATTTTGGGGAGAATAAAATGAAAATGACAGCAGCCTACCTCAACAGCATCATATTGCCCATGTCTAAGTAACACTAGAGCAAGGCCAACCGAATGACTGAAGAAAACAGACGGTTCTGCTCCTGTTCTCCCCCATATTATCCAGCTAGCAAATTCTTGTACTGAACTACTTAGACTGCTGGGATCAGGCAGATGTCTGAAAGATGGACTGCTATGACCTCCAAGTAACAGAATGAAGGCCAATGTGAATTCAGATTTACCAAGTTTCTCATTCCATGATCTCCGATCAACATTGCCATCTGAAGACATAGATAACATAAAAAACCATAGCAATCAATCTAGAAGTGCCAAAAAAGTTATCTCCAATCCACTATTACAGAAAGGGAATCTGAAAAACACAAAGAAAAAAGAAAAAAAGGCAAAACTCGAAACCTCCATGACTTGCATCCCTAGTTTTCGACTTACAATAATTAAAACATACTGCAAAAGAATAAGCAGCAGCAGTCACAAATCTTACTCGAAAAAATAGAAATTAATGACACTTTACTTATATTGCAACACTGATTAAATTTCTTTCCATTCTACCCATTCGACTCCAAGATAAGAAGCTAAAACTAAAATAATAAGTGAATCAATCCCAATTTAGTTGCAACCACCTTCCCGCTGAAGGTCTCCCTCTAGTTTTTGCATCGCTCCTCAAGATGTTACACCCTTACTGTAAAGCTCTTTTTTGCAATTTTAGACGGTGTCCACTAGTGATTAATATCCACACCGCTTTTCAGTCAAAAGATGGTCCTTCAAATTTCCATTATGACTACCAGAGCAACAGAAGAGATCATAAAAGCTTAATTGAGTCTGCTTAGATACATCAAATGACATGCAATAAGCAGCCGACCTAGGATAGTCCATAATAGCTCTTCATCACAATAGAGTGGTACATACCAAGCTGTAAAGATGAAAGTTGACTGCTGAAGTCTTCAAGAAGAGGAGATTCAGATGGTGTGGTACTGAAGAAATGGACGATATGCCACTCAGTAAGAACCTCTTGGATCATTGGAACTAACTCAATTTTAACTCTTGAAACCTCATCCTCTGACATGCCAATCTGCAAGGAGAGAACATTTGAGATTTTTTTATAGTCAAAGACAAATTGCACCAAAACCCTATTTGATACTAAAAGCGTCCAACAGCTTCATAAACATTTTTTTTAACTTCTCATTAAAGAAAATAAGAATTTCAGTATAAACACAAAAATGATGTTGTTGAATTGTTATCTTCTTTGCAGAAATATTGTAATTCGGCAGATTATTATCTAACAAAGAAAATAATCCATCCAGTTCATTATTTTTTAAGCTAAAAACACATATATGGAGCTTCAAAGACCACAATTAATTCCATCTAATTATTACTTAAGACTTCTAAAGGTATAATGTTCCACGATTATAGTGATCAGTAGTATCTAGTGTTACAAGATGAAATATACACTATGCTAGCACAAAAAGGAGATAAAGCAAACATCACAGTATACTTGTGCATATGAGCATCCCATATTTACTACTGTAAGAGCTAAGAATTGAGAAATCCAATGCATTTTCAGTACTTCTATCAGATTGAAATCATATCAAGTCTCATGAGGGATCTTTATCCACACACAAAAAAAGAGGATCAACAACCACCTATACATCACCACTTCTTTTATAAGCCCATTAATTTCCTAAAGGTAGCCTTGTTCCTTCTAACTTCTTTTCTTTGTTTTGCTTTTCCCTCACTTTACTGAATCAGACTTTAAGAGATGAAAAAAATGAGAGAGAACGGAGAAAGATAAAGCCTTATGCTACTTTGGTACGAAGATTCCTCCGAGGGCACACTTCAGACTGCTTCGTTTTCTTCTTTTTTAAATCCGTTTCGGGACAAATTTTCTTCAACTACTTCTGTCTCTCTACTTCTCTAGATATTGTTTTTCTTGTTTCTTTTCCTCAAGGTAACTCCTTGATAGTAACCAGCCTCTTCTGTTGCTACTTCTGCTTTTGGACTTCTCTTTTACACTATCTTGCTTTAAATGATACTCCATCTGTTTCAATTTATGTGACGTAGGTTGACTCGGAACGGAGCTTTAAAAACAGAGTTTTGAAACTTGTGGTCTTAAAAGCTTAAAGGGTAAAAGCTGTGCGAGGTCATACAGTGATTAAAAAAGCGCTCGCTTTCTCGCTTTGAGTGAGAAGCGATGCGAAGCGACCCGCTTCACATGGGTGAAGCGACTCAGGTATAAAAAAGCGACCGCTTCCCACTAAAAAGCGAGAAGCGACCAAGTGATGCGATGCGATGTGAAGGAAGCGACCGCTTCTTTGTTTTAAAACATACCCAGGCTATTTAATAAAAACAAAATTGTTCTGTCTTTTATTAAACAAACAGCAGCGACTAGGGTTTTAAAGCAGAGCATCTGAGAGCATTAGACTAGGGTTCTTCTTCTTCTTCTTCAACTTCAAGTTCAAATCTTCAACAGCAACAGGTATGTTCTAATTTTCCTCCTCCTCCTTCTCCTCCTCCTTCTTTCATTGTTTCAACGTCCAAATAGCATTCGCTGGCGAATTTTTTTTTTACCTTCGGTTCTTTCTCAGAATTGATGCAAATCCTTGGGTTCTTCTTTCTCTGCCTAGTTTTTAACAGAGAAAAACTGCCCTTCCTCTAATTTTTATATCCTTTACATTGAAGTATTGGACATTTGCTTACAATTACATGTGTTGTCTATGCAATATTTATTTTAATTTTTTTTTAAATTCCGCTTCACTTCAAAAAAGTGAGCGCTTCGCTTCTCGCTTTAAGCGAAATGGGGGTTGTCGCTTTTCCTCGCTTCACGCTCTTCACAACACTGGGGTCATAACATGTGTGTGGCTATAAAAGCTTCTCATTAAGAGTAAAATGGGAGCTCTAAAGTTAAATTGTTCCTAAATAGAGAAATGTGTCACTTTTTGGAATGAACTAATAAAGAAAGTGTCACATAAGTTGAAATAAAGGGAGCACTTTTTTCCTTTCCTTCTACGCCCTCAAATATGTTTTTAGTTTCAATTTTTATCTACAGAACGATTGTTCGTACATAAAAGAATGACTATTGGAATTGAAGCTTATTATCAGTAGCAAAATTGCTAAAGCAATTGAATATGAGATTGAATAATGCAATTAATTCTTTAAAGAGCTGATTAATTGATAATAATATAAGGGTTTAAAAGGGAAATCCCAATCTTCAAAAGGTTTGAGGGCTCCAGATCACTTGCTCCAAACATTTAAATCATATTAACTGATATGACCTTTTATTCAACTGGAGTGCAATTTTAAGACAGAACTATTCCAACATTTACTTCGTAAGGATATCTGCAACTTGTCCACTACACAGAATAGCAATAGCCAAAGTTTAGATAGACAAGTAGTCAACAACACCATGCACGCCCCAACTATCGGAAAGATGCGTTAGCATTCAAGAAAATGGTATTGAAACAGTAGTTTTTGATGTTTCAATATTTAATGTACTGCAAAAACAAGACAATAGAAAATGGAGCATAGAACAAGAAGTAGCAACAATTCTAGGATATTATTAACTTGTACCACACAGCCAATTATGGATATTGATGATCTCTGATAACAAAAGTAACACACACCTGACTGCTACTGTTAACCATGTAGCTTAGAAGCAAATGCACGTCCAATGCAGATTCAAACATCACTTTAGCAACCTGAGAAGTCGCCTGAACTGTAAGGGCAGTGCTGACTGTGAAGAGTCCATCAGAATCCAAGTTATGTTCATATTTTCGAGGCACGAGAAATTTCAAGTAGCTCTCAATAACATGCAAAACTCTCCCCCATTTGGTAGCTCTACTGCACAAGTTGTGTAGGGATAAAAGCATATCTATTGAGAATTTTCTGAGTCTTTTGTGGTAGGAAATTTCTTTATCCAGTGCTACATCAGTTCCAAGTTCGGATACATGGAGAGCTGCCATTGATGAGCTATATCCACTTTCTAAATTTTTAAGCAACCGTGGAATGATCTCTTCAGATGATATATTTGGTGTTCTAAGAAGCGACTCATAAAATATGGTAGGAGCTGCTTTGCTCAACTGTTGACTGAGATTACGAACACACTGCAGTATCTCTGAAAGAATTTCCCGTTCAAGATCATTATTACAGGAGTCCAACCCAGAGCTTATTACATCTCCATGTTCATCAGAAGATCCTGAGAGCATAAATTAACGAGCAATTGAATAAGGAAAATTTGCAACGACCGTACAAGAGTAAGACAAATCAAGTAAGAAAATGAGATCTCAAAAAAGAAATTGTCTGACATACCAGAAACAAGAAGCTCTATGTCCTCCAGACTACGACACATGGAGACTGAGTTTTTTCTAATAACACCCACAGCTTGTGTGGCTGAATCAATAAGCAAACCACACATTACATTCGTTCTGCACCAATTATTGAAATAGCAGGTACAAAAGGTTTTCCATCTCTGAAGTATTGAAATTGGACTATCAGCTCCCACCTTGAAAAGGGAGAAAAAAGGTACTGAATTACCCTGAAAGTTATGGAATAGAAACCTGGAAATATCAATAGAAGCACCATACAAATCCACGTGCAACTGAAAATACCTCATGTTGAATGACTGACAGAATTTCATTTTTCAGTCCATCCACAGTCAAAGAATCAAATTCGGAATCAGTGAGGTGCTTGCCAAAATCTCGTAACGTTGCCCGAAGAACATTTCTATGATAAACACCCGGAAGGAGCAACCTACGTAAGAAAACAGAAGATACAAATGGAGAAATCTGATCCTGCAGTAATTACAGAAAGAGGCGATTAACTCCTTTGGTAATATTTAGTGAAGAATATATTTCACCAAAAGTTTGATGTTAATATGTAACTAAACACGTTTTTGCCTGTCTGACAGAGAACTGAAATCGAACGATTTTAAGCAAAGTATATTTCAACTACTTCAGCAGTGATTCACACAATGTAATGACATGGCCTATGTCGTCTAAGCTGGAAGCTTTTAGAAGTTTGAGACTTTCATGTTAGGGCTACACAATAATTTTCCATCTCATGAGAAGTCAATTTCACTCCACTTAGTTAGCATCTTCAAACTCCTCAGGCGGTTTACTTAATAATCCTGTACACAAAAGGGAATAAAAAAGTAGTAACAATTTTATGCCAAAAGTTTCCATTGTGGAACCTAAATCGAAAAGGGCAATATCCAATAACATGCACTATTGGAATATCTAAGCAGTATGCTGCAGTACCAACTATACTACATATTCTTACAGATAGTATATCCTCAACTTTGAATCAATGACATGATTAAGAATTCATGGAATTTAGAATGTGGCAAGCAAATTTTTCCCAATTCATTGATAACTTCTTCACCTAGGGTAAATAGTGTTATGGCACCATCTCCTACAACATAAATGACAGACTTTTGCGAGAACTAGAGTTAAGTATACTTTTTATAGGCAAATGTTTTGATAGCTCAAGATGCAAGAGCTAATTATTCTAAAAACTCATCCACTGAGTTATCTGTCGAAGTCAAAAGCAAGAGTACTTCTTGATCAAGAAAGAAGATGCCTAGATTGTTTTTCTAGTCAGTTGCACTTCAAGCATTTATTAATCCGGAGCAAAAGTAGCCCAAGCTAAAAAGTACTTGAGTGGCAAAACTAGAAAGACAGGTTCTCAACAAACTTTAGTTTAGCACTTAATTTTTTTTTTCTTGGGTTAGTTTTGCTAGCTTATTCTAATAGATCATGAGATTATTCATTTGTATATGCTTAGCTTAGGAATCAAAAGATGTTCTCAACTTTGCCAAAAAAAACAATAGGGGAGCAATTTCAGTGAAATATCATTTATGATCAAATCTCTTACTGAATCAATTACACAAGAGTATGCACAGCTCAGCATGAAAGCAGTTCTATAGCACCTCAAGAGAATCTTCAGGTTATACCAATGTTAAAGTGAGCAGCTTACACACGTGACTCATAAAAGTAGTATTCCATTCACGCAAAAGTAAGCCTAAGTGACTCATTAATACTCAAACAATACCACCAAGCTGGTTAGCAGCTGCAGCACTGTCAACCGGTTTCACAACCCCCCCACCCCCCTGCCCCGGGATAGCAGAGAAACTAAACAAAAATATAAATAAAATAACAATCAGAAACTCAAAGATAAAAAAAGGGGTATAGGTTCTCTTCTTTTTGGTATATGGCTTGTACACGGGTTTTCTCCCATTTATGGGAGGAAAATAGCTCACTAGCCATAATTGTTAGAGATAGATATGTAGTTGTCCCACATTGGAATAGGTGTAGTATGCCCTTTGTATAGAGTAGCTATAAATTAGCACATCTTGTATTGCATTAGACACACAATATCAATATATCATATTTTCTCCCGTGCCTTCTCACATGGTATCAGAGCAATCGTGAGAGATTTATGGTTGTGCATAAATTCCAGCGACTCCGGGAAGGAAAATCAGTTGACCGGAAACCTTTTTCTTGCAGGTTTGCCGCAAGTAAAAAAAAAAAAAGCCACTTTTCGTCAGTGGTGTGCAAAAACCAACACCACCACGAAGTAGATCGGGCTCCGGCGACCAACCCATAAAAACAATCTCCATCAGAATACCCTCCACGCGCCGCCACTAGCCATCGGTCTTCCGGCGAAGTTCTGACGTCGTGTGGGCCACCTTCCGGCCATTTTTTGGCGACGACTCTTCAGGACAAATTGTTCCTCTTGCAATTCCGAGCCTACCCATCCAGGTTACACCAAATTCCGACAACTTTTATATTTTTCCGGCGTGAATAGTGCTTTCAAAAGTGGACTTCCGGCCATTTTTTGAAAACGTTTCTTCAAAACAGTTGGGTCATCTGGTAATTCCGATCCTACCCCTACTGTTTTTATTTCATTCCGATCACTTTGAATTTTCCCGGCAGCTACAGTACTATTCCGACTGCTACAGTATTTCCTTATTCTGTTTCACTGTTCCTTACTCTGTTTCAATGGATTACATTTGATTATTTCGATAATTTAGTAATAATTTGCAACGATGTCTTTGGGAATTGATGCTTTTGGGTCTAAAAACATGAGTTCTGGAAGCTCTAGTGTTATGATTACTTCAGAATCTTTAATGGGAGGTTCAAACTACTTAGCTTGGGCTTCATCTGTCGAGTTGTGGTGTAAAGGTCAAGGTGTTCAAGATCATCTAATTAAATAGTCTAGTGAAGGAGATGAAAAGGCGATAGAGCTTTGGGCAAAGATTGATGCTCAATTATGTAACATCTTGTGGCGTTCTATTGATTGGAGTTGATGCATTTGTTTCGTCCATTCCAGACATGTTATTTGGTTTGGGCAAAGGCTCGTACCTTATACACTAATGACATATCTCGCTTCTATGATGTGATATCACGGATGACAAACTTAAAGAACCAAGAATTAGATATGTCTACTTACTTGGGTCAAGTACAAGCAGTCATGGAGGAATTTGAGACATTAATGCCAGTTTCTGCTAGTGTGGCAAAACAACAAGAGCAACGACAAAAGTTGTTTCTAGTTCTTACACTCGCTGGACTTCCTAATGATCTTGATTCAGTGCGAGACCAGATTTTGGCTTGTCCAACTGTTCCCACAGTTGATGAATTATTCTCTCGATTACTCCGCCTTGCTGCAGCACCAAGTCACCCAGTGATCTCATCACAAATACTTGATTCCTCTGTTCTCGCATCGTAGACAGTGGATGTTCAGGCGTCTCAAACTATAGAGAACAGAGGAGGATGAGGTCGTTTTGGGAGATCTAGACCCGAAGTGTTCTTATTGTCACAAACTTGGACACACTCGTGAAATGTGCTATTCCTTACATGATCGTGCACCCAAAAATGCTTACGTTGCTCAGACCGAGACTACATATAACCAAGGTTTTTCTGTATCTAAAGAAGAATATAATGAGCTCCTTCAGTATCGAGCAAGCAGACATCTCCACAAGTAGCCTCAGTTGCCCAGAATGATACTCTTGTTGCTGGTAATTCTTTTGCTTGTGTTTCCCAGTTTAGTACTCTTGGACCATGGGCCATGACTCAGGCGCTTCTGATCACATCTCTGGTAATAAATCACTTTTGTCAAATATTGTATATTCACAGTCTCTTCCCACTGTTACTTTAGCCAATGGATGTCAAACTAAGACACAAGGAGTTGGACAAGCTAACCCATTGTCTTCTATCACCCTACATTCCGTTCTTTATGTACCTGGTTGTCCTTTTAGTCTTGCATCTGTTAGTCGTTTGACTCGTGCCCTCCATTGTGGTATATATTTTACTGATGATTCTTTTATTATGTATGACCACAATACGGGACATACAATTGGTACAGGACGTGAATCAGAAGGCCTTTACTACCTTAATTCACTCAGTCCTTCCACAACATGTCTAGTTACCGATCCTCCGGACCTAATCCACTGTCGTTTAGGACATCCAAGTTTATCCAAACTTCAGAAAATGGTGCCTAGTTTATCCAGTTTGTCTACATTAGATTGTGAGTCGTGTCAGCTTGGGAAACATACCCGAGCTTCCTTTCCGCGTAGTGTTGAGAGTCATGCAGAGTCTGTTTTCTCCTTGGTTCATTCTGATATATGGGGTCCTAGTAGAGTCAGTTCAACCTTGGGATTTTGTTATCTTGCTAGTTTCATTGATGATTACTCAAGATGTACTTGGCTTTTCTTAATGAAAGATCGTTCTGAGTTATTCTCTATATTTCAGAGTTTTTGTGCTGAAATAAAAAATCAATTTGGTGTCTTTATTCGCATTTTTCGCAGTGACAATGCTTTAGAATATGTATCTTCTCAGTTTCAGCAGTTTATGACTTCTCATGGAATTATTCATCAGACATCTTGTCCTTATACCCCTCAGCAAAATGGGGTTGCATAGAGAAAGAATAAGCACCTTATTAAGACTGCTCGCACACTTCTAATTGAATCTCGTGTTCCGTTGCGTTTTTGGGGTGATGCAGTTCTCACAACTTGTTATTTGGTTAATAGGATGCCTTCATCTCCCATCAAGGATCAAATTCCGCATACATATTGTTTCCCCAGTCAGCCTTATACCCTCTTCCACCTCGTGTTTTTGGGAGCACATGTTTTGTTCATAACTTAGCCCCTAGGAAAGATAAGTTAGCTCCTCGTGCTCTCAAGTGTGTCTTCCTTGGCTATTCTCGTGTTCAGACGGGATATCGTTGTTATTCACCTGATCTTCGTAGGTACCTTATGTCAGCTGACGTCACATTTTTTGAGTCTAAACCTTTCTTTGCTTCTGCTGACCACCATGATATATTTGAAGTCTTACTTATACCGACCTTTGAGGAGTTTCCTATAGCTCCTCCTCCACCTTCGAACACAGAGGTTTCACCCATACTAACTATTGAAGAGTCTAATGTTGTTCCTCCTAGTTCCCTAGTCACAGGAACACCACTCTTGACTTATCATCATCGTATGCGCCCTACATCAGGCCCAACTGGTTCTCGTCCTGCACCTGACCCTGCTCCTACTGTGGACCCTACTCCTAGTACACCGATTGCACTTCGAAAAGGTATACGGACCACACTTAACCCTAATCCTCATTATGTTGGTTTGAGTTATCATCGTCAGTCATCTCCCCATTATGCTTTTATATCTTCTTTGTCCTCGATTTCCATCCCTAAGTCTACAGGTGAAACGTTGTCTCATCCAGGATGGCGACAGGCTATGAGTGACGAGATGTCTGCTTTACATACAAGTGGTACTTGGGAGCTTGTTCTTCTTCCTTTAGGTAAATCTACTGTTGGTTGTCGTTGGTTTTATGCAGTCAAAGTTGGTCCCGATGGCCAGATTGATCGACTTAAGGCCCGTCTTGTTGCCA